CTGCTAACTTATAATTATGCTCAAAAAGACTTAAAAAAAAGACATTTTTAATGTAGTCACTCACTTCACTTTATAAAAATGGGAAAAACTTAAGTTTCGGCTTAAGTACAAAAATCGTGAATCTCCTGATAAATTCTTTCAATACGTCGCTGGTTAGGGCTGTATTTTATGGATCAGCAAGAAAATAAACAAAAATAATGCCGAAACTTTATCGTGGCCCTGTGCTGCAGAGGCGGAAAACTCAATTGAAAAGTTTGCTGTTCATTTCCGGTTACGAGTGCGGAAGCCAGGGGCGGGAAAATGGTGGTGCAATAGTGGGTGGAGCCCTGGCAAGTGGGAACCGGAAACGGGAGGTGTCGACCAACAGGGAAATGCATTTGAATCTTATATGGCGTTCAGTTTTCCGTTTCCACAGTTCAGCGACAGTTTCGACTATTCGCTGTGTCTGCATCGTCCTGTCCGCCCCTTTTTGCAACATCCTTGTTTATATCTAGTTGTGCATAAATTAACTTTGTCGCTTTTTATTCCCCTTTTAATTCACTTTTGCGCGGACATCGTCGACGACATTTAGCTCGTTGTTGGCGCTTTGTTAATTCAAAAAGTTTTAATAATTTTACTTTTCAACAACTCGTGCTCGTGCTGCAAAAAAGGCAGCAACAAGTTGCTGTATATATGTGCATGTCCTGCCCTTAACCCAAACTCGTTACTCCCTGCTTTGCATATTCTTGTGGGACACTTTTTTTACGCGTATCTTCTCGCTCTGATGACTTCTGAGACAGGGAGTGTCCTTAAATGCCGCATGGCGAAAAGGAAACTTTTTGAATGGCTGGATGCCAAAGACAGTGATAAAACCCAAACTGCGAAAATTCAGCTTAAGCTGCACTTGAGGAATAAAAATTATTGCATTCACCTAATTTTTTGTCTTATTAGAGAAAACTTAAGCTTTATAAAATGGGTTTATTATTTATTGTCTTCAAAGATGAGAGATTACTAAATTTTTTAAGAAAATAAAAACCAAGTAAGTATTATTTAATAAACATACAATAGATTTTGATTTGATAAAAATATTTAGATGATTTATTTAAATATTTATTCGCCTTAGCGTTGGTTTACTTCTTTTCATGAGTGTTTTTCACTGATATGCAGTCTTAAAGCTGCTCCAAGGCTTTTGCTTATCCAGCTTGATCCATCAGTAAATGAAAACACTTGACAAATGTGCGAGTCCTGACAGCCTGATCCATAAATGCCAGCCACTGACCACACGAACGCCCTCATTCGCCGGCCACTCAAGTTAATTCAATGCGAAAGTCTCACACATTGCCATAAAAACAACATGTAAGCACTCGAGGCTTAAAGTCCTTCCAGTGGCAGGAGCAGGAGCAGAAATATGACCAGGAACAGGAACAGTAACAGGATCGGGAGTGGGGCAGTTAGTAGGACTGAAAGTGGACGTGGATGTGGATGTGGAAGTGGAAGTGGAGCATCTGCTGGCCGGATGTGGCTGCCACTTGTGTAAGTGTCGCGTGCTGCATTTGTTGTTGCCGCTCATGTAGTCGCACTCGTTTTTGTTGCTCCTGCCACTTTTTATTGTGCTCATAATTTGTTGAAGTTAGGACGGCAACAACTTGACACTGACAGCCAGCGATGAAGGGAACCGCACACAGTAAAAAAAATATATAGTACATAAAAATAACAAATGTAAAGTAGTTATAAACATAATATATATCTACAAAAAACATAAACATCTTAATTTTATTTAACGCTTTGTTAATTTACTTATTTCAATGTCGGCATACAATATCCTTGTCTGTTTTGATTTTTTTTCCCTGTGCATAAATCCTTGGTTCCCCAAATTTATGCTGTTTGTTGTTCACCAAATTCTGCAGCCAACAGTGCGACCTAATTGCCTCTCGGCTGGGCCAACAATCAGACATTGATTGGTTGATCCACTAAGCCGGCAAGAGTCCAATCCAGTCCCAAACGCAACTCAATCAGCAATTAGTCAGTTGGCAAAGTCCCGAGTTCATAATTCAAAATTGGCACATGCAAATGCCCAAATGCATCCGCACTAATTGAAATTTATGGCGCTGCGGTTGAGTAGTGATCAAACTTTTCCCACTGCCATCAGCGCATCAGGTCGCATTAGAATCGTCCAGCGAATTTCGCAATTTACAATTTGCAGCACAATGGGACCCGAAATGATAAGGCTGATGATGATGAAGTGGACCGGGCAGCCCAAAAAGCGCATCTCAGGGTCATAGATTAGTGTCCAAGAGCACGATTTCCGGCAGTAAACGAGCTCGAGACCGTTGACAGGATGAATTAACGAGTGTCCAGCTCTCCAATTGACCATCCCAGTAGTCACTGCTCACCGAACAACCGCTCATCCTTTCGGCGCATATATGTATGTACATATGTATATAAGTCCATTTGTGAACACACGAGAAACCCGCGCTTAAATGCCAGCATCATTTATCGATTTATGCAAATTTTCGGTCGTAATAAATACATATCTCTTCATTGGCTGATATCTGCAAAAAGGCATAATTGTATTGTTGATTGAACCATAAGCCAAAAAACGCTTTGAATAAAAACAATACTTAGCCTGGTTGTTAAAGTTGCCATGGCTTTAGCTGTTTTTTCTACTAGAGAGTTTACTTGGATAGCACATACATTTTTTTCACAAAATTGTAAAACATTTTACTATGGTATTATTATTTTCGATATTTTTATTCCCCTCAAATTCTTTAGAGGCTTTCAAACAAACCAATCCCAATAAGGGCTTTTTACAAAAATCACATTCAAATCTAGCTTCCTTTTATTTTCATCCTTTGTAGATTTTTTTTAACATTCGCCATCACTTGTGAGGTCCTTTTTGCTGGTTCACCCCACTTATCCTTTCGCTTAGCCAATCCTGCCATAATTCGCAGCTGATGTCCATTTGTTTATGCATTGATAAAGAGAATGCTCACATGCCAGCGCGCAAACACACACACCCACACACACAAACACACACCAAAGTAAATATAGCATACATTTCAGCTGTTGCTATTTTCGCGTGGCCTTTGCATATTAAGTTTATGTTTTATCGTTTATTGCGCACACTGACACAGGCATAAACGTGTATTGCCCACATAATTTAACAAACATTTTCATTTATATGCGCATTTCACTGTGTTTGTGTGGGCTTTGCTGTGTGCGGATGTGTAACATTTATGACCCCTGGGTGGTCAAGAAAGACCACACAGAGAAAAAGTTCCATTCAAAATTCTTAACCAAGTTAAATCTAAAAAATAATATAGCAAATAAATTTTTATAATTGATCACCTTTTAGAACAAACTCCACTGTTTACTTTTAATTAATTTTTTTCTTTGAATTGAGAGCTTTTTTTAAAGAACATGTTTGCAGCTTTAAATATTTTTTTGTAAATAATTTCTTAGATTATACTTTACTGTGCAGGACCCTTGGCATAAAAGCAGTTCCAGATGGCCGGCGAACTTGGGGAGCACATGCCCACCAATGAGGCGTACTTAATGATTATAGCATTTGTTATTTTTATTTATTTATATTTATTTATCTGACCGGCCGCCTTGGCCGTGGGCACTCTCTCCTGTTTTGGCCATTATTTTTATGGCTTAGTAGGCCGACTTCCCCTGGTTGCCATCGAATGGCCGTTGACCACTCCATTTATGTTTTGTTTTCGTGGGTTTACTCGCGCATATTTGCTTTGGACAAGCGGCTTAGCCCGGGAGCATCGACATTTATTGCCGCCAACTAATGTCTTGTAGCCATTTGTTGGGCATTTAAGCCTGGCCAGCAGCGATGGCCACATGCGGATCTTTGCTTTCGGCGGCGAACAATGAACTCCCCGGACTCTAACGCCAGTGACCTCTTTTCGGAAAGCTGAAGCTTATAAATGCCAAGAACAAATGAGCAAAAATTGCACATCCGACCGGGTATCAAAAGGATAAAGCGGAAATGCAGGAGACAGTTGGGACTTGGAGTCCAGTCGCCGTCTTCGTGGGCACTCAAAATAAATTTTAAGCAAGAAGCACAAGTGAGTTCAAAGTCTCCGCCCATCGTCACTCCCCATAAAAATACTTGATGACAGTAGCAGAGAAATTTCGGTTATGGGGTCTGTGTATCTTTGCCCGCTGCTTCCGGGATATCATTTAATGTTGTGTGTCTGCTGGTGGTTTTGCTCTCTTTGTGCAACCGAAATTGGCTTAAACTGTTGCAAGTTCATAAAACAAACAACCAAATTTGAAAAGTTGCAAGTGCCAGCCGCAGTCGGAAAGTTTATCCAGGGAGCCTGAACTTGAAATTTACGTTAGTTAAATTATCAACTTCAGCGTCTGGCCAAAAACTTTCATCACAAAACGAAGTTGTCCCTTTGTTCTTTTATTTTACAGAAGTTCTCCGCGGCTGCTGAGTAAGCCGATTCCCTTTTATGAAATTGTGGCAAATGCACACGGAAAAAATCATAGCTTCACATATAATTGAAAAAAAAAATCAAATTAAATCAAAGCGTTCAAATTAAGAATTATAAAAGCAAAAACACTTGCTGTTATCCGAAGTAGTTTTTTATCTCTGACTGCATTTTTTAAGGCTAAACTTTTTACTTGCCAAAACAATAAGTGCCATAATTCGCAAAACCTACAAACTTGGTCATCCCTGTCCACTCTCACCACTTATAAGCATCATGTGTGTAATTTTGGTTTAAGATGGCCTGGCCAACAAAGTTGTCGCATAGACTTGTGGGTGTGTTAAGCGGTTTAAATGTGAAACATTGTTGGTTGGCCAGGCTTCAGTTTATTGGATTTACCCGTACTCTCCGAGAACGAGGAAAAATTACATTCGCCGGCCAGCAACTTTGGTTTACACTTAAGCCGCTTTGCCAGCGGAAAGCCAACCACAAATTACAACTTATTACATTAGTTAAATCAACATCAGGCTGAAAATTAAGATCCATTTTATAAGCAAGAAAGTGTCACATAAGTTGGCTAATTTGTACACGAGCTCATATGTTGCCGTTCTTTTTTATTCATTTACAAACATATTTCTGGCTTCATTCACGTTGCATTAAACTAGGCTTTAATAGTAATGAATACATAACAAAACAGTTTATAGATTTCACAAATTGAGTTTAGAAATGTGTGATTCTGTGTTTCTAGTTGTTATTGCCAATAATTTCAGACTAAACAGCGATCGTGGGAAAAGGGGGAATGGATGGCGGGGGCCTGAGGCGATAATTTTTGGGTCAAGCGGGAACTGTAAATACTTCTCAAGCGGTACTGAATCCACGAAGACTACTTTAGAGTAAACTAGATTAAATATGCACACGCATACGGATGTGTAACTATATTTGTATATAAATATAGAGGCTGTGTCGTTAATTCTATTCCTGATTCAGGTTCTTGATCACGTAATTAACAATGAGGGCAAATATCGCAAAGCAGATAATGATCACCAGGTTCGAATAGACGGACTGCCAGTTTAGATAGGAGTTCCGTGCACTATTCTGCAGTGCCGACGCTCCGCCGCCACTGGCCAAGTCCGCTTGTCCCGCCGCTCCGCCATCAATGGCGTCCGCTGCGTTTTGTGGATTCGACAAGCCACCGGCTGCTAGATTGCCATCCGCCAATGCCGATGCCGCGCCATTTGCTACACCGTTGGACCGCTTCGCTCCGCCGGAGGTGGACGCAATACCGCCCGCCGCAGCCGCAGCCTGTGTTCCCTGCAGACGCTGCTTGATTTCCTCGACCATCTCGGGAAACAGCTCACAGAAGTTAGTGTTGCGCAGGTTAAATGCTAGCGATTTTTGGGCATACATTTGCTTGTCATAGTTCGACGACTCGATAGACCCCAGCGTAGGAGTGCTTTCCAGCTGGAAAATGAAGTGGTTTAATTAACTTTATAATGACTTAAATTTCTAGAAAACTTGCCATAAAACTCAGCAGTCCAGTGAGAATGGTGCCAACACACCAAGTGGGATTCCACGTGTCCGGATGAAAGTCTGACAAGCAAAGAACATAGCATAAGAACACGGAAAATGTTATGGAAATTTGTTCAATTAACGTTTAAAAACTAGAAACCAACACGTAATAAGTGATAAGCAAAAGAAATAAATTATAAAAAAATTAAAACGCTTTTCAAGTAAATGTAAGATAAGATAGGGAATGTTTTTTTTTTTTGTTTTCTTGCAATCACAATATTGGGTTTTTTCCGAAAGAGGGAAAACTATGTAATGTATACCTGATATGCTCAAGCACAGCCTCGTGTTGGTCTTAAAGCGTCCGTTCGGCGTCAGCATGTAGATGGAAGGCGGCTTGAAGGGGAACTCGCGCGGGAAGAGCAGTGTGCCATGGTAGTAGCCGCCGTAGTAGGGCGAATCCTCCGGTCCCTTGACGCAGTAATGCCACTCGAGGATGTTGTTGGGCAGCGGTTCGGCGGTGATGTACGGCAAGGGATCTCGCTTGAGACGCATATAGTCCTGCTTCATACGCGACACGGCAGTTGGCTGCTTCCGACCGCCGGACGCCGACGACGAGGACATGTTCTTATGGTTTTAGGGTTAATTTTCGGAAACTAATTAGTACCACCCGATCGGAGACTGGGCGGGAAATTTGGAGAAAACGATGAAAAACGATTGGCACACTGAGGTTTTTCTCTCAGTGCAGTTGATAAGCGATAGCGACGTGGCCCTGTAAGTAATTTGCAAATCAATTAATTTTCCATGGCTGTTCGATCTAGAGGGGTAACGTACCGTCCTTCTCCAGAATTTTGGAGCTGCCGTGGGGTTTTTAGTTTGTTTATCACTTCGCTGGGCATGCGATTTCCAGTTCTCCACCTTGATTGTTTATTGTTTATTTTTCTAGTATAGCCAAACAGCCTCGAAAATTAATGCGTTTCCTAATTGTTGTTGGTGTTGTTGCTGCGCTTTTGTTGATTTTTTTTAAATTGCAGCGAAATTGTGTGAGAAAACAACGCACACACACTGACGCACAGGTGCTACACCCACAGGCACTCACACACGCTTAGGCAGATAATTAAGGCTGAAATTTGATATATCTACGGGCTTAATCTGCTCTTGTTCCTCTTAATCGGTAGTGGGTGTGCTAATGGTTTTCTGGCTCTCGCAAGGTGTTAAATTGCAATTTCTATGGTAAAAATTTCTCCCGATGTGGTTGTTCTAACGCAGTGTTACCGTTTGCTGGTATTTCGCCGTTTCGCATCTTTGCGCTGTGGTCAGATTGCCACGGGACCGAAGGAATGGAACGATACCTTCCTCAGTTTGGTTATCGGATTTCAAACTTACAAACTTTCAATAAGAATATATTCGATTCAACAAACGTATTTTAAACAACTCTCCTTTTAAGTTTGAATGAAACGAAATCATCAAAGTTATTAGTGCTTTGAATGAATATACTTAAAGCTCATAAAAACAAATAGCACATTTATCACAGGATTCTCATTATATTACTCTTGATTATTTATTAAAATAATGACTTTAGTTTTTAGGTGATGTGCTGATCTGTTTTTAATACGAATACTATTTTGTAGTGAAAACATGTATTCAATACAATAGAAAACATTTATACAATTTATACAATAAAATAACATCGTAACACTTTCCTTTGATTAAACCTTATTCTCGTTTTTTGTTATCACATTCAACTGATAAGCAAAGCTATCTTTGAAAGTGTGCAAATGTTTTTGAATCTTTGTTAACAAACATTACCCACGAGCCTCAAGTTCTGTACGGGAATAGAACTCAAAAACAGAAATGAACGATTACAGAGATTACAGGACATCGGCATCTCGCAAAAATTTGGACTTCGTCATGGCTTTTGATGGGTGAATGTATTTTAATCCATTGGCTGTTCTAGAATACACATTATTAACATACAAACAACTTCAACTTAATGATAAGGCACTTAATTACCCTTTTAGAACGAATGCAAGTGCTTAGCATTTGAGATTAAACAAGTGAATAATTACATTTTTCACACATCTTCCAAATATTAAATAGGTTTTATTACTTGGGTTTATTTTTTAAAAACAACAAGAGCGCTTGTTTTTGTAGTTGTATATTAATTGTGTGTAATAATTTAGTAATAATAAATTGACCCTCATTCGTATGTGGAACCAACACAGAGGAACTCCCCCTGATAAGCCCCAATCGTTCTGAGTTTCTTGTTCGTACATTGCAGGGGGTTTTGGGGGGTAGACCGAGCCAGATTTCTTATCAATCCCCGCGGGCTGTTTTTGGTAAATGCCGACAGCGGACAAACAGTTGTCGTTTCGCCAGCACAAAGTGCAGTACTCAGACCGCAGAATAACCCCTATTTAAACATAATGTCGGCGATCGGAAAAATCGGATTCCTGGGCGGTGGCAATATGGCCAAGGCTCTGGCCAAAGGGTTCCTGGCAGCAGGTGAGAGAGTTGATATAAAGCTCCATATCTAGGTGTTTTATAACTAATTCAAGAGATAAGAAATCCAAATAATTTACCAGGATACAACAGACATACCTAAGGACTAGGATACCTTCTCTAGTGTTTCACCATTTAATATACTTATTACAATTGAATATTCTTAGGCCTCGCCAAACCCAACACCCTGATAGCTAGTGTCCATCCTGCGGACAAGCTCTCCTTGCAGTCCTTCCAATCCTTGGGAGTGGAAACAGTGGTCAAAAACGAACCAGTTGTGCAACAATCAGATGTGGTATTTGTGTCCGTGAAACCCCAAGTGGTACCAGCTGTTTTATCGGAGATTCAGCCACTCAGCTCTGGAAAACTTTTCCTATCGGTGGCCATGGGCATCACCTTGTCCTCCATCGAGTCTAGCCTCTCCCCACAAGCTCGTGTGATCCGCGTGATGCCCAATCTGCCGGCAGTGGTTTGCTCAGGCTGTTCGGTTTTCGTGCGGGGATCCAAAGCCACCGATGCAGATGCAGAGATCACTCAGAAACTCCTGCAGTCTGTGGGCACTTGTGAGGCGGTGGATGAGTCCCAGTTGGATGTGGTTACTGCTCTTAGTGGCAGTGGTCCGGCCTACGTGTTCGTGATGATCGAAGCTTTGGCGGATGGAGCCGTTCATATGGGAATGCCCAGGGATCTTGCCTATCGTCTGGCATCGCAAACTGTGCTGGGAGCTGGACACATGGTGCGGGACAGTGGCCTGCATCCCGGGCAGCTGAAAGATGGGGTCACAAGTCCGGCGGGTTCGACGGCAGCAGCTCTTAGACAGCTGGAGCTGTCAGGTAAGTGGTGATGACGCTGGTGACGCACTAGCTTATCGCCTCTAATTCAACCTTTGTTATTTATTGCAGGTTTTCGGGCGGCAGTGTCTGGAGCGGTGGAACAAGCGACACTGCGTTGCCGGCAAATCTCGGGCAAGAAAGCGTAGACAAGTAGGATTCTATATGTACCATAGGGTGGGTCTCTTTTGTTAATCATCTTATCAGAGCTAAGACTTTGTAAACACTTTACACAATTAAAGAAAAAAAAATTTAATTTATCTATAGAAAACTGATACTTTTAAAAGTAGCAGAGAAATATGTTTCATTGAAATTATTTTATTCTGTTGTTGACCCACCCTGTTTATAGTTTATAATCTAGGTTAACACGATTCCCATGAATATATACAAATTTTGAAGGTCGTTGTCTTGATTTTAAAATAGAAACAGCAATGCGCTGCTCTTTACTCTCAGCTCAGCGTCTAGTCTAGCTAAAAACTAATTCACAATCAACTTAACTGGAGAACATCTAGAATTTTTTCTTCTTTTTGGCGCGAGCCAACTCATTGAGCTCGCCCTGCTGCATGGAGGCCTCCTGGTAGATCCGCTTGACCTTTTCGTGGCGCTCCTTGTCGCTGTAAGTGAAGGATTAAATCGATTAGAGATAAGAGATTCCCCCATTAAATAAATAACCCACCTTTGCAGCGTCTGTTTGAGCTTGAGCTCCTGGACGAAGGCTGTATCTCTGCGAATCTCGCGGATGGCACCCTTCTTCTCTCGCTTAATCTTGTGCAGCAGTTTCGCTCGCTCCTCCTTCGCCTTGGACATCTTGGGTCGCCGTTTGTCGTCGTAAACCACTTCGAATCGTGGCTCCAGTAGCCTTAGAGCCTTAGTCTTCCTTTCCGCCGGAGAAAGAGGTTTCATTTTCTGTTCAGCCAACTTTTGCGCCAACTCGGTGACTTCCTTGTGGTGGAGATGGACATGGTCGGGGTAGAATTCAAGTGGAAGGCGGGAGAGTAATCGAAGGAAGGGTTGGGCTAAGTAGCATGAGCCCACATGCTCCTCCACCAAATTAAGAGCTTCCTTGATCAACTGTAGGGTTGTGTCCAAAGCGCGGACCTTAAAATCTGTCGAGATTGTTTGAGAGACCAAATCTGCAGCCTGTAGTTGTTGGGGCTCCAAAGTCTTGCTTTCTTTATCAGTTGAAAGTGCCAGGAGTTTGCTCAAAGGCCCATCACGTTCGAAGGGAGGTGTGATTTCCAACTGTTCTACATCCCGTTTGGGAATGGACATGTGTAGAATGCCTTGCAGGAAATTGAAAGCAGCTGGAAGGATTCTCTTCGATTGTGCCACGAATTCCAGGACCACGGGAAACAAGAACAGTCCCATTGATATTTCCTGACGCGTTCGCACTCGCGCTCTAGACAGTATGTGCTGCATGAAAATAAAGCAAGGAGTTACCACCGGGTGGCGGAAATCCGATGTGGAATATATGTTGGCAACCAGCTTGAAGTAAATTAGAGTCTCTAGTGAAGGATAAGTCTTGTGGTTCTTCTTGAACTCTCCATATTTCTCCTTAATAACTTCCAATAAAGTATTTGACATGCGCTCGGGATTCAATTGCGTTAACTCATAAAAATGTGGCATAAGTTTGGAAAGCAGTTGGAAATGTTCACGAATGTCCAGCTCGCTGGCATCCTCAAACAAATCCTTAATATACTGCAGCAAAAAGGAGTACAGCTTCACGATATTCTCCCGATTTACACCTTCCAGTTTGGGATGATTGCATTTTATTATCCTTTCGATGATGGTGGCCTGTTGGGGAGCAGCATGTTTAGAAAGGAGTTCCGTAAAGTCCTCGTAGGTCTTTGGCATTTTTATGGTGAAAGGTATGCTGGTGTCCAAAGAGGCAGGAAATTTCTCCACTGACTTCTTTTCTTTCTTCTTGCCAACTTGAGAAGTTTCTTCTGCTTCAGATTCACTTTCAGATTCCTTAAGATCGCTGAGATTATCGACCTCCGAATCGCTCTCCTCATTAGAATCATCGTCCTCCTCTTCTTCTTCGCCCTCTTCGCCATTTTCCTCCTCATCTTGTTTTTCCTCTTCCTTTTTTCCATTTAAATGAGTGCCAAGGTTGCCCTCTAAATCGTAGGCCAGTGTACCATCGTCCTCATCATCCCCACCAGCCAAGAAATACCCATCATCGAGGTCATCTGCAGAACGATGTTTGGGCTTTAAAATGGAGGCCTCCTCATCCTCCTCGCCCTCAGCTTTCATGCGGCGCAAGCGCTCGTTCTCTAGCTTCTCCAGGCGGGCAGCTTCCTGTTTGGCCAACTCATCGGGATTGATAAGTTTATCCGTGACACTGCCACGCGGCTCGAAGATCATCTCCTTGAGCAGTTTATCGTAGGCATCTGGCGGTGGTTTGGCGTCTTGTTCGTCCTTGGTGGCCTTCGCAACCAGTGGCAGGAGAAGTTTGTAATTGGCATCCAGTTTCTCTGTGAGATCGTAAACCTCATCCTTCTCCTTGGCGATTTCGTTCTTGCGGCGTTTCTGCTCCACAATCATCTCATCAATGGCTGCCTGTCGATCCTGTGGGGAGTCGCCATCGCCACCGAAGTGGGCGGCAGATGTGAAGTCGGCTGAAAGAATATTATAGTAAGTAATGGGATTGCTTGAAGGGAAATTCATTTGGTGTACCATCAAGTCGCTCGTCATCCAGCTCCTCATCGTCGGAGCGTTCATCTCTGTACTGTTCAATCTCCTCCAGAGTTTGGCCCCTGTGCGTCAGCAGTTCGTCGTCGTTGAGGTTGAACTTTTCTGCCTTTTGATTTGAGCGCACCTGTGACATCTTTTCGGCCAAGTATCGAGCATTCATCACGGATTCCGTCAGCTGATCTCCGCTTAAGTGCTTGCCAATTCGGTTGTCCTTAAACCGATTGGTCTTGTGTTTCACCGCAAACTGTTGACCCAATGTTTGAGCTCTCTTTTGGAGGGCCTTGGCCCTCGATACACCCGGCATTCCTCTGTCATGCTTGCAAATCCTCCCCAAAATCTTGAACTTTTCCTTGTTCACGTGAATATCGAAGGGATTCTGTCCCTTCTTACTCGACTGCGCTGCGGAGTTGTCGAACGGATTGGACGACTTGACCGTCTTTTTGGCGTATACCGCATCGGCACTGGCCTTCTTTCCCTTGGCCACCATGGCTTTAAATCGAGTTTTTAGGAAAATTAAACCGGGTTCATGAAACAAAACAAAACTGCTCAATACCGCACACGTGCAGCCGAAAACGTACTAACGCGTTATGGGAAATCACCAAAAAAAAAGTGTTGGATACAACCGCGAAAAGTCACTGCAAGTGCATGAGGTGGGATCAGTCACTAATGGTAATATGTTTTGAAAAACTATTGTAAATTTAACAAGATAAAAATATGTAACTTTACTGTGTCTTTGATATGAAATAAAAATAATAAATAATAATAACAAATAAAACTCCAGTTTATTTCTAAACAATATAATTTTAGTAATCAGCATATAAATTTTTTTTTTACCTATTTAAATCATAAGCCATTCTCAGAAATAATTCCAATGCATTGTCACGTTTTGTTCTAGTAACAGTGACAGATGGCAGTTACCAGTTATTTTTACTCAGAACTAATAGCACGAGTTTTACAACACTAAACCCACGTCGCCATTTTCGTTTCGTTCCGTGAAATTTTCACACGCAACGCCGCATACTGAAAAATTGAATTTTACTGTTCAGAGTGTGTTTAAAATTGTTCTGAAGCTACGCGGCTTTAATAATAAAGTTTTTGTCGTGCGCATTGTGAAGAAAGCATGAGCGCCACGCCGCCGGACTTACTTTCATCGGCGGCGTCCCGAGAAGTCTCAGTCGCTGTCGCAGTCGCCGCCACCTCTGCCAACGGAAGCAGCGGCAGAAGCGGTGCTGATAAGGAGCGCTCGCGTTCAAAGGATCGTGGAAGGGACAAGGACAAGGACAAGGAGCGGGATAAAGATAGGAAAAGAAGGTGAGCAGAACTCTGAGCATATCTAAATTATCTTGATTTCTATCCTTACTCGAGAAAACGAGGCATGTTGGTCTTTTAGACAAATTCCTATTTCGAGTAAAGAACTTTCTTACAAACTTCAGTCACAAAACTTGTCCACGTGCTTTCTGTTTTCTCCCGCTCGTTTTATCTTGGGACCGGTATGAAGTCGAAATTTGAAGAATTCTAAGAATTGATAACACTTCTAGAGGGTTGTGTTTATTTGCTTTTCACCATACATTTACCATTGCATACTTATTTGGATTATATAATAACCTATTTGCATTTGATTTTCCAGGGACAGGGACAGCAGAGACCGCGACAGTCGTCGCCGAGATGATCGCGACCGTGATCGGGATCGTGACCGTGACCGTGATCGCGACCGTGATAGGGATTCCCGTTCGAATAGGAGCAGATCGCGCAACTACGACGACCAGGACAGAAGAAGGAAGCGTTCGCGCAGCAGAGACCGTGATCGTGACCGCAAGCGGGACCGGGATCATGATTCCCGCTCTAGGCGCAGCAGTTCGCGAGGTGGTCGCGATGATTACGACCGGAGTCGTAGACGTCGTTCACGCAGTCGCAGTTACGAACGCCGGCGAAGTGACCGAGGTAGCCAAAGGGACAGGGATCAGACGTCGCAAAGAAGCAGCAGGGAACGCACACATGTAAACCCCTTCGACACTTCCAACAGTCGAAACTCGTTGAACCAGGATCACGATCAGTCCAGGATTCCCTCGCTCTTTGATCGACAGCCGCAGGGCTTGGAAACCATCCGCGAGGAGCCAAGGGAGTCGAGGTTTGATTTATCTCAGACCATTCAGGAGCTAATGGGCAGCGCGGGAGGCAGCAAAGGATTCGCCTCGTTCTTCAACAATCAGAACAGCAATGACTCCACCAGCAATGGAGCTTTTGACAACTCAAGTACGTATATCATATGAAAATCAAGTAACAGACTATATAATAACTAACATTCGGTTTACAGTGGACAGCGCTGCTGAGAGGAAAAGGAAGCGCAAATCTCGCTGGGGCGGCAGTGAAAACGACAAGACCTTCATACCGGGCATGCCCACGATTCTGCCCTCCACTCTGGACCCAGCCCAGCAGGAGGCCTATCTAGGTAAAACTATACCCCAAATCTATGCCGATGATCGCAGCTGATCTCGCAACTAAGTTAACTATTAAGCACTAGTTTTAAGTCTAATGACAAACAATTAAGGATGAAAACAGAGAGAAAGAGACAGAGCCACACTTCAGAAACAGACGATGGGGACGAGCAGCTGGCGCAGAGATCGTAAACCAATCTAAAATCTGAATCCAACAACAAACGGCATTGAGCTAAATATAATAATCTCTCGTTCTCTTTTTGAAGGGATTCCGGCGTGGCACACAAACGATACGATACGACATGAGTTGCATTCCAAATCGGCTAGAATACTCGAACACAAAACAATTTATATGGCTGTTCGGCTTATATTTATTTTTGCAGAGATTTGTGCGCAGTCGAACTAATCAAATTAAACCCCACTGAATTAATTTTTCAATTAACTCAATTGTAACGCTCACAGCATTTTCAGTTAGTTTAGGAGCGGACACACTAAGCGATACAAGTCTCAATAGCCACAATGTCATTTCGACCCCCCATTTAACTGATATCTCTCCCAATTCTCTAGAAAACCAGCCTGTGACGTTTACTAATGTCGAGATTGCGCTCGATTTTCTTCCTTCTTTTCTAACGCCTTCTAATTGCAGTTCAATTTCAAATCGAGGAGATCAGCCGCAAGCTGCGAACCGGCGACCTGGGCATCACGCAAAATCCGGAAGAAAGGTTTGAAACAGTTCTCTCTCCCCCACTGAGTCTCTCAATCAAAGGTCTTGCCCGTGTGAAGCCAAATATCGTTACCAGACACCCAGACACCCACTGCGCTGCAGTTTTCCCCCTAAGAGTGACGGCATACGGTCCGGATAAGGATAAGATCATGAGTCCAACAGGTTTCATTGTGGCATGCCATTGATACTCGGGGTTCCACATGTATCTCTATTAGTTATTAAGATCCGCTGAATGTTGGGTCACTCTGAATTCAGTAGTAAATACAATAGATATCGGTTTAAAAAATTGCACTTTTTAATATTTATTGAATTAAAGAGGTTTAGAGTTTTTGATCTGTTTGACCGATATTTATTGAATTTAATTTTTAAAAATTCCATCGAATGATGTATCCAACTATTGTTAAGTTCTTTTCCTATCCCGTGTTTAATCTAACTAATTGTTAAACTTAGGTAAAGGCGAAATTGGCCCAAAAAATGGGTAAAAGAAGACTGTTTGGAAGCTAACTTTATGAGCTGGGTTTTGTAGCAAATTTGTTTAACTAATTATTTACTTTAACTAATGATACTCTTCAAGGGATTCTAGAGACAGTGATCAAATTCAGTGATCGATTGAATGATCCCATCCAAAAAGGCAACAAATAAGTAAGCGCCTGGAGATAACCGGAATAGATTCTACATTTTCATTAATGTCAACTCTTCTTTTCTTCCACTAAGCGTCCCGGTAGTTCGGGTTTCTCGCAAAGAAATCCAGGGTGCGACACAGAAACGAAATAGAAACAGCTACCGAATCGAACGAATTAATCAAAATTCTTCTTTTCTTAATTTCCCCAGCGAATAATATTTTTCTGCTAATGCTAATGAAAAACTTGATTAATGAATTTGATTTGCAACTTACAGCATATTCGATTAAAGTTATTAGTTAGTAAACGTACGTTAAGATCTCTAAGTCTAGTGCCAATAGCATCCTTCCGCCCAGAAGCTCAAAACCAGTCTTACCAAATTCGTCTCTTCGCCCTGCTCTTCTCGTCTCCAGGTCACCCTCACCGGAGCCCATTTACAGTTCTGATGGCAAGCGGTTGAACACCCGTGAGTTCCGCTACAGAAAGCGACTTGAAGAACAGCGCCACCATCTAATAGTCAAGATGCAAACGGTTAACCCCGAATTTAAGCCACCGGCGGATTACAAGTGAGTTTATTTATAGTAGGTTTTATTGCATCGAATCTAATCCATCTGTTTGTTAGACCGCCAGTGACTCGAGTCAGCGACAAAGTGCTAATTCCGCAGGAGCAGCATCCGGATATCAACTTTGTGGGCCTGCTGATCGGGCCGCGCGGCAACACGCTCAAGGCTATGGAGAAGGATACGGGCGCCAAAATCATAATTCGCGGCAAGGGATCGGTGAAGGAGGGCAAAGTGGGGCGCAAGGATGGCCAACCGTTGCCGGGCGAGGACGAACCGCTCCACGCCTTCATCACCGCCCCGAATCCGGAGGCGGTGCGCAAGGCAGTGGACAAGATAAAGGACGTCATTCGGCAGGGTATCGAAGTTCCCGAGGGTCACAACGATCTCCGCAGGATGCAGCTTAGAGAGCTGGCCCAATTGAACGGAACCCTGCGCGAGAACGACATTCAGCGCTGTACGTGTGGCTCCACGGACCACAAGTCCTGGCAGTGTCCGGATAAGCCGATCATCACGAACACTATTGTGTGCACCTCCTGTGGCGGCACAGGTCACTTGACCAAGGATTGTCGCAACAAGCGCCCAGGATCCGGAGCACCGGGAATGGCTTGTGAGGATTCCCAGGCGAAGATCGATGAGGAGTACATGAGCTTGATGGCGGAGTTGGGCGAAGGACCGCCGCCACCGGCAGCGTCTGCCAAGCCGGATCCGCCGGCCAACAGTGGACCGCAGTTGCACCGGGCCAGCTATAGCATCTTCGACAAGAAGCCCACGCAGATGCAGGCCATCCAGTCGCCACCGAGCTCCTCGTCGCGAGATCACCAGCGCGACCTGGGCGGATGGGGAGCGGCGGCGCACGATCACGGCATGGGCATGGAGCACGGTATGGGACTGGAGCAGCACGGTCACGGCTTGGCGGCGATGGATCACGGCATGAGCCTGGGCATGGAGCACGCGATGGCGGCCTATGTACCGGCACCGCCGGGAACCCAAGCTGCGCCACCGATGCCGCCGCCGCTGATGCCGTGGATGAGCGCGCCACAACCGCCGCCGCCGGCAACGGAGCCGATGAATCCACCCATACCGGGCACCTTGCCACCGCTCATCCCGCCGCCGCCTGGCACCGGTGCACCGCCCATGCCGCCGTGGGGCGGAGGCGGTTACAGTGGCTGGGGCGGCGGCTATGCGCCGCCTCCACCTCCGCCCTGCGCCCCGCCACCGCCAGCCTTGAGCCTGTCGCAGCCGCCGCCACCTCCACCGCCCTCCACTTGAGCTTTTAGATTTCAATTGGATCGATCCAGATTTCGCTCAGATGCTCCGACGATAGTGCTCGACCGCAAGAGACTGTCCCCGCAATCAATTATGTAACGTAAACGTAATCGTAATCCCCGCCCACATTATTCGCTTTCCCTATTATCTTTAATCAGACAAACCTACAAAACTAATTTGTATTTTACGATGCTTGAAATAAAGGACGGAAATAAATACTATAACTTAACTTAGCTATTCGATTAAACCACTAAATCAGTATTTTAATTACTTGCACAAGAAACAAGAATTTCCAATCTTTTCCACTTTATTCTTCGAGTCTTTTGGGTAGTGAATGTTTCAGGTGTGTAAGAAATTGAATAACAGCTTAGCCGTGCTTGTTAAAGTACTTCTTGGACTCCTCCACATCGGGCTTAATGGTGGCCGGGTTTGACTTGGGGTTCCAGTTGGCCGGGCACACCTCTCCGTGCTGCTCGACGAACTGGAAGGCCTTGATCAGGCGCAACACCTCGTCAACTGATCGACCGACGGGCAGATCATTAATAGAGTACTGGCGCAGAATGCCGTTGGGATCGATGATAAAGGTACCACGCAGTGAGATGCCTTCCTTGTCCAGCAGCACATCATAATCAGCGGAGATCTTCTTGGTCAAATCGGAAAGGAGGGGATAGCTCAGCTGCCCCACTCCGCCGTTCTTGCGGTCCACATTGCACCAGGTTAGATGGCTGAAGTGAGAGTCCACGGAAACACCCAAAACCTCGGCGTTGATGTCATGGAACTCCTTGATCCGCTCGCTAAATGCTACGATTTCCGTGGGGCAAACGAATGTGCTGTAAAAAGAATTTCAGAATTATGGTGGATACCTATGCTTGGTAAAAAGATTCAACTCACAAGTCCAGAGGATAGAAGAACAGCACCAGGTACTTGCCCCTGTAGTCCTCAAGCTTCACCTCCTGGAAGTTGTTACCCACCACCGCCAAACCCTTAAAATCGGGAGCGGGCTGCTGGATGCGGACTGCGGCAAGAGGAGCGGCTGGAAAAAGTATAAAAAATATATCAATATATTCAGCAGAAGAATAATCTGCCCTCCACACTTTCAAAAACTATATATATTAATTATGTCAGTAATCACTAGAGATCTTTCTATCAAGGTACCAAAAGTCGCAAGTGTTCGGCCAAAACATGGTGCTTTTTTAAGTTTTGAATATTGAAATTGTTTACTCACTCTGATGCAGGAGACGGGCGGCAAATTGTTTTTGCTGACTCAGGATGGCCTTGCCAAAGAGCGGTACCTGCAACGCATAATAAAACAGATCGGTTCGATATTGGAACGCGGGTTCAGCCAATTACGTAATCGCTGTGGCATGTTTTCAAAAAAATCTCGGTCCATCAACAAACTTACGTTACGAATCAGAGTGCGTCCTACGAATGACATATTGTTTTTTGCAGTCAAAGCAATCACGTACTACTAGGAGGTGTTTTAAGTCAGAATTTGACAAAGAGCCGGCTGAACTTTTTTAAGTGAAAACAAAGCTGACAGCTGTATGTGACCAGTGGGGTATAACGCGCTAAAAACACAATGGGTCTGGCCACATGATTCTCGATTTCGCTTATCGATGATTGTGTGGCGCAATTTTTAAACTCGTATATTTAAAAAAAAGTTTTATTTAAAAATAAATTTAACATATCAGTTTTTTTATCGTCAAAAAAATTATTAACAATTTAAAATTTTTCAAAAATTGTAAAATAAAAATGAATATTTTTAGTTTGTTATTTGAAGTTTTTAAAATTTTAATTGTTAGGAAACAAATTATTTAGTTTCTTTGCTTTGAAGATTAGAGATCACAGTATATTTCACGATTAGGCACCTTCACCCTCTTCACATGTGCTGCTCTGATTTTATTAAAAACCACCGCCCCATATCCCTCATGAGCCGCATTTTCTTTGGTCCATCTTGTTGTCTGCATTGTCCATTGTCCACGGCGGAATAAGACCGGGCAAGGATAATGGAAAGTGTAGCAAAATATTTACCACGCACTGCACACGCCACACAATGGTAATGAGCTGCTTACCCGTCCAACTATTTGCACTACATGTGTTTTGTTCGCCGCTCGTTAATCCACTAAATGCCCGAAAGCGGCTCAGATCCCCAGGCTTTGGATTCCCTCCCTCGAGGAGGGTTTGGTGTTTCGGTTTTTGTCTTCTGTCTTTGTTGCTACAATGCCCGATCTAGATACTTTTGTATCCAGCGAGATGCCGCCGCATTTCGAACAGAGAACCGAACAACAAAGAAAGTAGCATGCATGCTGAAATATTTTTGCATATTTGGCCTGAAGTTGGCAAAACATCTGACGGATAGCGAAACGCCCACCCACTTGGTTCCCCTGGACATTTCCATTTCCATTTCCAAACCCATATCCATATCCACTACCCTCCTGATCTCGAGCGGCATTTTCCCTGCCCTTCTCTGGTAAGTGCTTCTCCAATGGCGCTCGACTCTCTCGCTTTCCCGCAATTAGTCAATTCCCATGTTTGCAATTACGTTCGTGCCTCCACCACTTTTGCATCCCCTTGGCAGGGGTGGTAACGCCCCATTCACCCCCCTCATTTCCCCGCTTTTTACAATTTTCGCTGCTTTTCATCTGTAATTTGGCGCAAATTACGCGCTCCAAGTGGCCACCCGCCCACTCGAGCCTCCTAATAGTCTTTTTTCCCACCCCGAAAACACTGAAAATATTCTAACTAAAAACATTTAACTTTAAAAATGTGAATATTGCCAATTTGTGAATTGATTAAAAATAATAAATGCATTTATGTATTATGTATAGCATTAGTATAAGATTGTCGACAAAAAGTATGTAGGTTCATGTAGCTTATAATTGATTTTAAATGACAATCTCTTCTGGAAATCTCTGTTATCAGCATTAAAAGCAAGTCTTAAAATGTTTCCCTTTTTTTCTTTTACCTTCCTAACCAAAAATGTTTCGAGTACCCTCGGTCGTTAACTTGTTTATGAGTTGGGGCCTCGGCGTTGGGGTCGCGGGTTGCGTTAAAAGGCAGCACTAAGTAATTACGGGCAGTTTGCTGAGTGAGGGCTCCCAAAAAGTGTGTGTACACCGAGGGCTTCCAGGAACACCCCGCACACGCTTAACAAATCCGTGGCCCTGCACTAATTCCCAGACAGTTCGACTACGTTTACCAATTAAACGCACGTCGCTTTGTCTGCAAAGGTGCAGACTCTTTCGGATCCGGGATTCGTATCAAATCTATCTGTTTGCTGGCCCGCCCGCAGGATTTGCGCAGATTTGCATAATTTAAACAAACACTTGAGCACTCGAAGGAGTGCTCGTGTGCCGCACTCGCAGGATCTCGAGGACGACGAGATTCGAGGGATTCTCGGGGATTCTCTGAAGGCGTTGCCCACATTCACACGCACCTCGCAGTCTTCTTTCATTTCCTCCGGGAACATCTCCGTCGCACTTTCATTGTCAAACAGATGCCGTCATATTAGCACAAATCTGCTTAGGTCTTTGTTACCATCTCGAGTGCTGCTGGCCCAGATTCGAAAGGATCTTGATTTGTGACAATTGTCACAATGCCGGAGCTTAGGATGCGACGAGGTGCCGAGTGCTCCTGTTCGGGGCAACGCGTAATCCTGATGCAAATCTAGCTAATGTGATTCGTATCAGTCTCTCCTTTTATTTTTTTTGTGTTCCTCGCCATCTTTATCGCACAGCAATTCGCCGCTCTGATGTTCTTTTTTAACACTTTGGGTGTTTGGAAATTCGAGATGTTTGCCAGTTAATTACGAAAGTGTGCAAGGAGCAAAAAATGAAAGTAGACAAAGACTTACGGGCGTGAGAATTCAGTTCCAACCGGAGTCTCAACTCCTCACCTGCCCCTTTCCATAAGAAGTACAAATTTCCCAGTTTTATATCTTTAATGTTATACTGCTAAGAACTAAAAACTTGATAAATTAAGGTGTTAAAAACAATAAAAAAATTCATTAGTTTTTTATGCAGTACTAACTGATAGTTTAATCACAGTACCTCCAACCCATTAATTCTTTCTATTTATTTCATTCGCCAGAATCAAAGGCGTCTACGTTATTTATCCTATTTTAACCACAGGGAAATACATTAAAAGAGCGTTAAAATTACAGCAATCGCTTTCCACCATTATGTGCTGCCTACAGAACTGCACTCTACGGATATTGTTATTGCAACAATTTGAATACATTTATAAAAAGATCTGGCTCGATCATGAATAATAATTGCTGTGGTTTAAATTTTAATGGCAATTGTTGGTAAACAACCGGGAAGCACAACAGAAAGTGGGCTGCACTCGGATGCCAATGGAGCTTCTCGACCTCGTTAATTTGAATTTATGACAATGGAGAAATATGCGCAATCGATGTGGCTGGAATAAACAGCTAAAATGCATTTGCCACTTAAACCACGGGGTGAAAAAGAGGAAATACTAAATGACATATAAGTAGGTAAGGCAAATCGAATAAAGTTATTATTCTAAAGATTTAGTTGTGTGTCAAAAGAAATTAATATGAATTAAATAACAATGGTACGTTTAGTATCTGAACAATAAATTATTTTTAATTACTTAATTGAATTTGGACCTAGAGTGATAGACGTAAATTGTAATACAAAATCAAAGATATAAAGAGTACGGGCCCAACCTATTTTCCCCATTACCAGTCACAAACGTTAACAATATTAATTTGATTTGCATGTGCAAATGGTTTGTGTAACACCCCTCTTAAATATATAAATACCTCACCCACTGGAAGTTCTACTTGATTTTCAAAGCAATCGCAACAATTCAATCACTTTGATGTTTTGAGCCCACAAAACGAGCGCCTGCCCAGCCACGCCCCACGCCTCCCTACTCCCGCCCCCGCACACAAGCGACCGTATGTTAACGCCCATTTCCAGACATTTAAGCGCCATAGTCGTCGCTTTTTAAACATCAATGCGATTGCATTTACCCCATCCGCGGCACATCCTTCTGCTTCGATCGCAACACCCTCGGCACTCATCCATCCATCTATCCTGCGGACAGGACCTGCCGGCAACAACATGTAATTTCTTTAATGGTTTTCCCCCAACCCCCCAAACTCACTGCACGGAGCCGCAATTCAAAACGAGTGTGTCCGAAAATAAATAAAATCAAATTTCAAATGAATTAAGGTGTAAAAAATAAAACACAAGCAGCCAGGAAACAACAGGGAAATTCTAAAAAAAAGGAGGAATTCGAAAATGGCAGTTGGCTCTCAATAAATTGGAGAAACCCTTGAACAATGAAAGGATGTAAGTCTAATGTTACGGATTAAAAGAAAAATAAAGACTTATTTAAAAAAATTTTTTTTTTTATGTTGGTCTGTGTTACATAAAAGCATTTTTGGTTGTTTTAGTTCTTAAAAACCGAATGCTTGGTTTTCCAAATTTACTAGTACATATCTGTAAATTGGTTTAAATATTTAACTCAATTTTTAACCTGAAAACAGTTCCCATTACAACGCTTATCACGTAGTCAGGAAAAGTTTTAACCACTCCCATAAAAAAAATAGACTATTATAATTGAAGTATATCAAACCGTAAAATGTTTACAATTTAATTACACTCCCAGCTACTTCAGGCATGCCCCGTGTTCCTGTGTTTGTGTGCCTAAACGCATTAAAACACTTCATTATGCCTAATCCTGTGTGACGTAACAAAAGCCAGACACGCACGCACTCTCAAGCTTCGCCCAAAAACCCTTGCCGTTCTCCCCGGCCGAACATATGCCACTCGACTACACTTGAGCAACTCTATTAACGGGTCGAGGATAAGGACGAGGTCCTCGGAAGGGGTGGCCTCACGTTCACCCATTGAAACTAGCATCCGGATCGGGGCTCGTTTTAATGGCAGCGAAGTTACATGTGACTATTTGCATGTGAGGCAACCGGGAACAAGAATCACGGCCTGTCAGAAACCATAAAGTGAGTAAATACCTTGTTTCAACTATTTACTCACCCCTGTTGCACTGTGAAAATTACGACCGGTTTTGAGATTTATTACTAAATCTCATTATGTCTTAATGATTTTTTATTAGCTTCGTATATTTATTGAATTAAATTAATTTGCTAAAGGAACTAGGTTATTGTAAAAAATACATCGTTGTGACAAACAAATGTATTTAAGCTACAGCGATTTAAATGTACTTTTTTATAGCTTTGAACTATTTTTTTTGAGTGCAAAATCATAAGCCAGTATCCCTGACATTCGGAGTGCGCGCACGTGACGTGAGGCATTCAACCACTTTGATTTCCGCGTTGTTTGCCCTTAATTTTACGCCTGATTACAGGCCGTGGAGTATGAAATCTGATTGATAAAAATCTCACGGGTAACAGCCATTAGGGTTTGCAACAATAAGCCAGCCGCATCGCATATACATAAACATAAGCATATTCATTTGATTACATTTTGTCTGATCCTCGGCCAAGTGAACAGTTGCCATTTGTTTGGCCAACAGGCCGCACGCTCCTAATCGTGCAC